AGTGTAAAATGTAGTCTGAGTTATGAAGGATCTTCACAGAGTAAAATTCCCAGAGCTGTACATCAGAACATTTCTGAATCAAATCTTGCTTTCCAAGTGTTCCAAAGCAACAGACTTGAATATGATGACATCCTACCTTTTCCTGAGTCTCAATCTGTAGAGTTTAAGCACATTAAAAAAAACATACAAAAAAATGTAAAAAGCCTAATTCCAGAGTACATCCCTGCATTTGCAAACAGTGGTGGAGGCTATCTTTTTGTTGGGGTGAAGGATCAAAGTAGGAAAGTCCGAGGATGTGCAAAAGACAAGGTTGATTGTGCATCTTTGGAGACAGCCATAGCAGATGCAGTTTCAAAGCTGCCCATCGTCCATTTCTGCTCTTCTGAAACGCGGTTGTCTTATAGGACCAAAGTCATAGATGTGTTTCGTGGGGAAGACTTGTACAGTTATTGCTTTGCAATTAAAGTGGAACCATTCTGTTGTGTGGTGTTCTCAAAAGCTCCCATTTCATGGATGGTGAATGATAGGAAAACCATCTACAGACTGACGGCTGAGAAGTGGACAAACATGATGATGTACTCTCCTGATTCATGGATGGTGAATTTTAGGAAAAACATCTACAGCCCGACAACTGAGAAATGGGTAGACATGACGGACACTGATCCAGGTAAGGGGCAGAAAGCTCCTCCTTCCCTGTCCTTTCTGTCTCTTGGGCAACTCCATATTACAGTTTTCCTTTGTTTCCTGTTACTCTGAAAATCTTACTAAGTGTTTTGATTCTCCAAGTACCTTGCTTTTCATACAAGAGAAAGTTTTGTTGGGTAGATCAGAAACCTAAATGAGTTGTCAAATGGTGAAAACTTTCCACATTAGAAGTTGAAAAGAAAAATATTTGGGAATGGTTGCCCTTGAAGTGATGTTCTAGAACTGGCTTTTATTGGCTCCAAGGTAAATTTTTAAAATTTTCAGAGCTGGCTGTTAAACACTCTCATTATGAGTAGTTGTTATTTTTATTTTTGGCCAGGGATTGAACTCAGGGCATTTGACCACTGAGAGACCTCCCCAGCCCTATCTTGTATTTTATTTAGAGACAGAGTTTCACTTAGTTGCTTAGGGCTTCAC